AAGAAAGCGGGTAGCGCGCTCGACAACTGGTACCGCATGCACCGCGACATGGCGCGCCGCCAGGGCATCACGCGCCACAGCCTGCACTACTTCCGCGAGCTGTTCGCTGCAGCCGCGACCTACCTTGGACGGCGGCCGCGATTGCTGCTGCTGATGGCCGAGTACGCGGGTGAGGAGGTGGCCGGCATCGTGGTGTCGCTGTTCGGCCGGCGCGCGCGCTACCTCGTAACGGCGCGTCGGCGGACCGCCACCGGCACGCGATGCGGAACTACGGCCTGCAGTGGGCGGCGATGCGTCTGGCCAAGGAGGCCGGCTGCGATACGTACGACCTGTTCGGCATTCCCCGTAGCGCGGATCCGACGCTGCCGATGGCAGGCCTCTATCGCATGAAGACCGGATTCGGGGGGGTGATCGTGCACCGGGCGCCGGCGTTTGACGCGGTGCTCAACCGGCCGCGTCACGCCGCCTTTCGCGCGGCGGAGAAGACGCGCGCCTGGTACCTGCAGCGGGGCCGTACGCCGAGCCCGGGAGTCTGATCCGCAGCCGGTCAGAAGAACGCAGGCGCCGCCTGCTCCTGGACCCGGAACAGCGGCCTGCCTGCGCTCATGCCCGGCCAGGGAATCGCCGCGCCGACCAGGATCAGCGTGATGAGCACGGCGACAACCGTACCGCGGAAGCGCCGCTCGGCCGGCGCACGCTTGATGCGCCCGGTGGCGATGCTCATGAAGGTAACCGCGATCGCCATCAGCAGCGCGTGCTCCACCAGAAAATAGCGAAGCTGCGCGTCGCGCATCGCCGCGCCGACATCCTCCAACGCCACCCGAATCCATGGGCTGAACGCCACGTACAGCAGTAGCCCGACCAGGAACTGCAGCGACAGCAGGCGCGTCGCCGCCTGCAGCAACCCGGTGTCCATCGGCTGCCACTGCGCCCGGCGGACCCAACCGGCCACGCCGCGCGCCAGCAGCAGCAGGAACAGCAGCAGCAGCGGCCAGCGCAGGTAGGAATGCGCTAGGAGGAGGATGGTGTACACGCCGAGAACATAGGCACGCAGGCAGCGGACATCAACGCGTTGCGGCGTGCTGCCGCACCAGCGCCCGGAAGCTGTCGCCGCGCTCGAATTCGTTGCGGAACATGCCGAACGAGGCGCAGCCCGGCGAGAGCAGCACCGTCGCGCCGGGAACGGCTGCGCGCAGCGCGGCCTCGAACGCCTCATCCAGCGAATCGAACGGCCCGTCGCACCCCACGCCTGCCCGGCGCAGCGCCGTGTCGAGCTTGGCCGTGGCGCTGCCGGCGAGCAGCACGCAGCGACGCAGGGATCCGGAGGGTAGCGAGCCTGCCGTAGCGGCCAAGATGGAGAAATCCAGCTCCTTGTCGGCGCCGCCGGCCAGTAGCACCACAGTTGGGGGCACGGTGGCCAACGCCGCCACCGTCGCCTCCGGAATGGTGGCGGCCGAGTCGTTGACGAAACGCAAGCCGGCCACCGCGCCCACCGGCTCCAGCCGGTGCGGCAGTCCGGCAAAGCGGCTCAGGGCGCGGCGTATGGCCTCCGGATCGCTGCCGAACGCCGCGGCGGCCGCGGCCGCCGCCAGCAGGTTCGCCCCGATGGCGTAGCCGCGGAGGCCGCCCGGGCCGCGTGCGGGGTCGAACGCCACGCCGAGCCGGCCTCGGACTGACATGCGGCCCGTGCCGTCCTCCATCCAGGCGCCGTCCCCTGCCGGGCGGTGCCGGGTGGAGAACAGCACGATGCGGGCGGCCGCACCGTCCGCGAAGCGGCGGTGCCACGGGTCGTCGGCGTTGAGGACCAGCGTCGCCTCCGGAGGCTGCCCCTCGGCGATGACGCGCTTGTCCTGCAGATACTCCTCCATCGAAGCGTATCGGTTCTGATGGTCGGGCAGCAGATTGGTGACCACGGCCACCGACGGCGCCAGCAGGCCGCGGCCGCGCAGGTCACCCAGTGCCAGGACGACAGCTCCAGCACCACCGGGGTGTGATCGCGGAGCTTCTCCAGGAACTCCAGGGGCGACCCGCCGATGTGCTCCAGCCGGGTGTCCGGTTCGTCCTCGCGCAGGATTGCCGCCAGCGCGGCGGCGGTGGTCGACTTCCCCTTGCTGCCGGTGACTGCCAGCACCGGCGCCGGACAGCGGGCCAGGAACAGCGACTGATCGGTCTGCACGTCGGCTCCGGCGGCGGCCGCGGCGGCGAGGAACGGCGAGTCCGGCGGCACGCCGGGGTTCTTGACCACCAGGTCGGCGCCGGCGAAGTCGCTCATCCGATGGCCGCCGAGCGCCAGCCGCACGCCGGCCCGGCAGCGCATCGACGGCGTCGCGCAGCTCGTCAGCCGTCTTGAGATCGGTGACGGTGACGCGAGCGCCGCGCGCGTGCAGAAAGCGGGCGACGCCCAGGCCGCCGCCGGCTATGCCGAGCCCCATGACGGTCGCGCGCACGCCACGCAGGTCGGCGGCCGGCCGCCGACCGGTCAGTTGGCCGCCCCTTCCTGGCCCTCGGCTCCGGAAGCATCCTCCGCCTCGAGCGCGGAGGCAGGTATCGGTTCGCGATCGATCGACTCCAGTCGCTCGATCGCCCAGTCCTTGCCACTCCACCGGAGCCACAGCCGCTCGGTGACGAGCGCCCCCGGTGGTTCGGTCTCGCTGACCATGTCCTCGAGGTTGGGCGTCCAGAAGTAGTAGCGGGCCCTGAAGACCGGCTGCGGCTGGCGCTGCTCCACGTGGATCTCCAGATCGGTGACGCCGTACACGCGAAACGGCGGATCCTCGAGGCGGCCCAGGCCGTCCCACTCCGGCGCGGACACCACTCTGCTGCCCCCGCGGTTGGCCAGCGCCATACGGGACTCCAGAAACATGTGCAGGGTTTCGTTGATCAGTCCGCGGCCCGCGTCGCCTTCGACCGCGTCCTCCATCGGCTCGGTGTCCATCGTATTGATGGATTCGTAGAACAGCTCGACGACCTCTGCCGCCTCGAGTCCGCGCGTGACCGGCGGCGCCAGCGCGCGTCCGACGATCGGCACCAGGATCGCCAGCGCGACCGCCGCTCCGGCGCCCCAACCGAGCAGGCGGCGCCAGTTGCGGCTGAAGAACCGGTTGCGCGCAAAGCGGCGTTCGGCCTGTTCGGTTTCGGACTGCACGGCGCTCAGCGTCTCCGGCGGCGGATCTCCAAGCTCGGCAAGGGCATCCGCTGCGGCTCGACCGCCGAGCAACCCGCTCCAGGCGGAGAGGGTCGGCACGGCCGCCGTGCCCTGCCCCCACGGAGGCGAGCACCGCGTCACACAACTCGCCCGGTGCCGACGGCTGAAACGTCAGGGGCGCAACCACCCGGAGTCCACGCACCCGGTCGTGTATGTCTTCTTCCGAGTCGCCGTCGAACGGATAGCGGCCGCACAGCACCCGGTAGACCGCAACGCCAAGCGCGAACGCGAGTTGGTCGGGGCCCTGGCGATGCGGGTGGAGGTAGCGCTCGACCCTGGCCAGTCGCTCGGCGGGCGATTTCACGCCATTCAGGCGTTCCATCACCGTGGGCGGCAGGAACAGCAGGCGGCCGTCGTCGGCGAAGATCACCGCATCACCCTGGACCGGCCCGGTGAAGTCGACCCGCTCGGCGAGCGCCTGCAGTGCCCGCGCCAGCCGCAGCAGGCGTCGGCTCCGTGTCCGTGACGGAGGCTCTGCGAGCGCCCCGTCCAGGGTGACGCCGTCGACCCACGGGCCGACCACGTACACCTGTTCCTGGTAATGCCGGTAGCCCGCGAAGCGCCAGACCTCAATGGTCGGCGGATGCTCGGCGTCGCAGTCGGAGACGATCCAGCCGTCCGATTGAGCCACCGCGCCGAGCTGGGCAAGGCTGTACTGGTTGTGCCGCGGCCCCGCGGGAATGCCGAGCAGCGCTCGTGTCCAGATCGAGCCGCAATGGCCGTTCCACGTCGGTTCGTACTATAGCGGATAGCCTAGGGTGGAGGCCCCGGCTGTTGCGGACCGGGATCGCCACCGGCATCGCGGGAACCGAGCAGGGCGCAGACGCGCTGATCGAGCCGCACGAACAGGTTTTTCTCGCGCAGCGGCAGCACCGCCCCCGGCGCGCCGCCCTTTACGCGGCGTAGGTGCTTCACTGCGTGTAGTGAACGTCCGCCTGTCCGTTCCTGCGCGCCTTGCTGAAGAACGCGGCCAGGGCGGCGGCGTCCAGCAGCACCGCGAGCGGCGGACTCTTGCCGCGCTCTGCGCGGTGAGGAACACGTGGGCTCCCGGGTGGTCGCGGCAGTGGAACCAGTAGTCGTTGCCGCGGGCGGCGTGACGCAGGATGGCGTCGTTGGCGGAGGCCGACCGCCCGACGCACAGCACCCAGCCGGCCGAGTGGTAGCGGCTGCCGGGACCGATCGCCGCGGCGCGAGACGGGCGCCGCGGCGCCGGCGTCGATGCGGCCGCGACGGCTTCCAGGAACGGGCCATGGCCCTGCGCGCGAAACACCTCCCAACGGCTTCGCATTTCGGCCAACTCGGTTTGCAGGCGCTCGACCGCCGCGCGCTGCCGCCGGTACTCCAGGAAGTAGCGGCGTGCGTTGTCGGCCGGCGACCATCGCGGAAAGAGCGGGATGGGGTCGCCGCCATCCGGCGCCGCCAGCCGTGTCGCCGTGCGGTCGATGAGGTGGGCGTTGGCCAGGATCGTCTGGCCTGCGGCACGCAGCGTCTCGTAGCCGGTGGCGCGGTTCAGGGCGGCCCGCAGCCGGACGATGCGGGTGGCGATGCGCTGCCGCTCGCCCTCGAACCGGAGGCCGGCGGTGTGTGCGTCGCGCATGCCCTGTTCGATCCGTTCCCGTGCCCGGTAGTGCGCGTCGAGGCGCGCGTTGTAGTCGCCGTCGCCGTCCAGGGGACGCAGCTGATACCGGTCCGGATCGGCGCCACGCGCGGTCGGCGCCCGCCCGAGTGCGAGCCCCGCGCACGGGTCGAAACGGCCGCCGGCCACCTCGCTGCGCTGCGGTCGACGGAAGAGCGCGTCCAGGATGATGCCCCGTTCATCGGTGACCAGGCAGTTCGACGCGCCGCTCCACAGGCGGAACCAGACGATGCGGCGCCGCGCGCCCGCCCCGCAGCGGATGCGTACGATCCGCTCCGTGGCAAGCTGCAGTGCCGAATCGATACGGCTGTTGCCCAGATGGGCGCGCAGGAAGCTCACGAAGCGCGGTGTCGGCACGCGGCGAGCCGGAAAGGGTGCCGTAGTGCGATGCAACCGGCTGGCGCCGGCGGCGAAGCTGCACAGCAGGGTGATCCGGGCGGGACCGATGCCCCGCTGCCGGTCGCCCGGCCGGTGCAGCGCAAAGAGCAGCGTCGCCGCGTCGGTCTGTGCGACGTCCCGGATGAAGGCACCGGGCAGCCTCAGTTCGGTGAGCACCTGATCGATCTCGCGCCAGTTCATCGACGGAGACTTCATCGACGGCCGGGCCGGCAGCCGCTTCCAGTCTTGTGCCACGGTGATCACGCAATGAAAGCGTGCTGCGCGCCGCGCCGCTACCGCGACGGCGGATGGTGGCGGCAGAGGGGTGGAGACCGCAGAATTTGTAAATGAGCGTAAAGCGCATCGGGGAGCACTGCCTGTGGCGCGCCTCATGCTGGCACCGTTCTTGCTCACTGCATCCGCATGACGCTACGCATCATCGGTGTCGCTCTCATGCTGCCCGTCGCCGCTGCCACGTCGGGGCAGGGGTTGCAGGTCGATCTGGCGGGCAACGGCGGGGAGGTCGCTGGCGCGTCCGCCGATCTTCGCCTGCAAGGGGTACGGCTGATCGCCCGTACCCACGCCGGCACCGGCCGCTCTGTGGTCGGGCTCGATACCCATTCGCTGTCGGTTGGGCCGCTGCGGCTTGCGGGGTTGGCCCGCGTCCTCATGGCCTCCCCGCTTGGCCTGTATCCCTGGAGCTCCGCCCTGACGGCCGCCAGCGGCCCGTTGCTGGACGGCGCGCAGGTTCCCTCCGGGCGGTTCGGCGCGGCGCTGCGGGCCGACGACGCCGGTTACTTCTACGTGATGCGCCGATCCCGGGAGCTGAGCCGGCTCGGCGGGGGTGCGTGGATCCGTCACGATGCCGGGCTCGACGCCGAACTGGCGGCGGTCTTCAGCCGGCTGGCGCCCGAGTCCGTCAGCGCCGCCGGCGACGATGCGCCGTCGGCGTCAGGGGCACGCATGGTCCACGCAGCCGTTCGCTTCCGCGCGACCGGCGACCTGCTGGCGGTCACCGCCGTGCCGATCATCATGGCCGCCGACCGACTGCCGCCGGCGGGCGCGGGAGTCGTCAGCGCCGGACTGGCCTCCGGGCCGCTCACGGTGGACGGCTCGCTCGCGTTCGCCGGCCGGCGGTACTTCACCGGGGACGCGAAGCGTGCGGCCGGAACGACCGCGGCGTTCCGCGTGCGAGCCGCCGGCGACGCCGGCCAGTCGCTGGAGCTGCGCTCCCAGTGGCGTTCCGGCGCGTCGCCGGAGCGGGTGCTGACCGCCCGGCTGGCCGCGGGCGCGGGCGCGGCTTCCGGCTTCTACGGCACGGCCGAGGTCTCGCATCGCACGACCCGTTCGTCGGATCGCGTGCGTGTCTCCGCCCGCGCGGAGGCGCGTGATGGCGGCAATCGCGGCTGGCTGTCCGGATCGCTGAGCACGACCGGCGACCGGACGACCTCCCGGATCGAGGTGGGGGCAAGGTTGCAGGCGGCGCCGGAGATGCAGCTGACCGTGGCGGCAGGCTGGGCGGGACAGGGGTGGAGCGCGCGCGTGGGGTGCGTGCTGCGGGGAGCAGGGCACCAGGTGGACCTGGATCTCGACGACGACGGCGACTGGGGGATCGGTCTGCAGCTGCGACGATGAGCCGTGCCTCGATTGCCCGTCTGCATGGCGGCGCGTAGAATCGGCGGAATCGAAGACATCTCGCTTTCACTCCACAACACGTTGACCGGCACGGTGGAACCGTTCGTACCCCTGGTCGAGGGGCAGGTGAGCATGTACTGCTGCGGCCCGACCGTCTATCTCGATCAGCACCTCGGCAACCTGCGCACCTATCTGTTCGAGGACGTGCTGCGGCGTACCCTGGAAGACTGCGGCCATCGGGTCCGCCACGTCATGAACATCACCGACGTGGGCCATCTCACCGACGACGGTGACGAGGGCGAGGACAAGATGATCAAGAGCGCCCGCACCAAGGGCCTCTCCGTCGAGCAGATCGCCGAGCACTACACGGAGCAGTTCTTCCGTGACTGCCAGGCGCTGAACATCACCAAGCCGACGGTGGTGTGCAAGGCGACCGAGCACATTGCGGACATGATCGCCCTGATCGAGCGGCTGGCCGAGCGTGGCCACACCTATCTGGCCGCCGGCAACGTCTTCTACGACATCTCCACGTTCCCGAACTACGGCCGCATGGCACGGCTGGATCTGGATGAGCTGAAGGCGGGGGCACGCATCGAGGTGGATGCCAACAAGCGCGGTCCGCACGACTTCGGGCTGTGGTTCACCAGGTCCAAGTTCGAGCGGCAGGCCATGTTGTGGGACTCGCCCTGGGGGCTCGGCTATCCCGGATGGCACATCGAGTGCAGCGCGATGTCGATGCGCTACCTTGGCGAACGCTTCGACATCCACTGCGGGGGCGTCGATCACATCCCCGTGCATCACACCAACGAAATCGCCCAGTCGGACGGCGCGACCGGGGAGCCGAGCGTGCGTTACTGGGTGCATGGCGAGTTCCTGGTGATCGACGGCGCTCGCATGGCCAAGTCGGGCGGGAACCTGGCCACCGTGTCGGCGCTCGTCGAGCGCGGCTTCGAGCCGCTCGACTACCGCTACTTCTGCCTGGGCGCCCACTACCGCGACCAGCACACCTTCTCGGAACAGGGCATACGGGCCGCCCGTTCCGCCCGCCGCCGCTTGCTGGACCGCGTCGCCGAGCTCGCCGAGCTTGCCGGCGGCGCTGAGCCGCCGGGCGCCGAAGAGCTGGCTGAGGGGGCATGGCAGGCCTTTCGCCGCCACGCGCGTGACGACCTGCACATGCCGCGCTGTCTGGCGGTGCTGTGGGGCCTGATCAAGGAGCCGCGCGTGGGCGCGGCCGCCAAGCTCGACGTACTGCGGCGCATGGACCGCATCCTGGCTATCGGCATCGAGGAGGCCGGTTCCCGAAGCACGGAGCTCGCCCCGGAGCTGCGTGACCTGATCGAGCAGCGCTCGTGCGCCCGCACGCAACGGGACTTCGCCACCGCGGATCGGATCCGCGATGAGCTTGCCACGCGGGGCATACTGCTTGAAGATCGGCCCGACGGCGTGCGCTGGCGCCATACGAAGGGAAAGAGCTCACCGAAGCTGTAACAAAGGGACGTCGATGTTGTTGTCTAACGATATAGCCGGCCGTGACTTTGAAGAGATCTATCGAAAGCTGTTTCCAACCCTGTTCCGGGTGGCGTACCGGATCTGCCTCGACCAGGGGCTGGCGGAGGACATCTGTCAGGAGGCGTTCATGCGTTACCTGCGGCGTCCCACTCCGTTGCCCGACCTCGACCAGACCAAATACTGGCTGCTCCGCGTCGTGCGCAACCACTCGCTCAATGTGGAGAAGCGAAGAAAGCGGGAGTTCCGCGCCAACCGCGAGGTCACGCGCGCACCGCGATGGACACGGGACGAGACGGCCGATGACGAGGTGCTGCGCTCGGAGACCCAGGCCGCGGTCCAGGCCGCGCTTGGCACACTGCCCGTCAACCTGCGGACCGCGCTCGTGATGCGTGAGTACGGCGGCTTGAGCTACCGCGAGATCGCGAGCGTGCTGCGCATCAGCGAAGGCAACGTCAAGGTACGGGTGTTCCGCGCCCGTCAGCGCTTGGCGAAAATCCTCGACCCGAGCAATCTGCATGTGTCCTGACGACCCCGTCCTGTCAAGCTTCGTTGACCACGAGCTTCCGCCGGGAAGCTCCGATCGGGTCGAGGCCCACGTCACCGATTGCACTCACTGCCGCACCCGTCTGCGCGGCTACCAGTCGCTGTCGCACCGTCTGCTGGAGTGCGACGAGCCCGACGTGGAAGAGGCGGCCACCCGGATCTGGCGAAGGATCGACGGGCAGGCGCCGGTTTCTTCCGCACGGCGCCGCGGGTCGTTGCGGCTGCCGATCGCTGCGGCGTCCGCAGCGGTGGCGATCGCCTTCGTGTTCACCATCGCGGTCGGCGACCGCCCGCCGACGCTGGGCGAGTGGGGGTTGCCCGCCGCGCCGAGCCGGACCGTCGCCTTGGCCGGGACCCCCGTGCCGCCATACGCCGGTGCGGAGCCGGTTGTGCTGGAGTGGGCGCTGCCGGATGCCAGCGAGTTGCGGCCTTTCAGTTCGCCGGCCATCCTGCTTGAAATCGAGTTGCAGCCATCCGCGGTGGCATCGCACGGCGACCCCACGAACGTGGAGGTGAGGCTGCCGCCCGCGCGCTATCAGATCGTCGGGATGCCCGTCATACTTCATGAAGCCGAACTTCAGACAGCGAAGCCGTAGGCTTCGGGCGCTTCCGCTCGTTCCGGTGCTGATGGCCTTCGCCCTAGGCGGAGGGTCCCTTGGCGCTCAGGCCGGTTCGGCTGCGGCTGCATCCGGAAGTCTCCCGGAAGCCCTCGGCGCCCGACCGATCGAGATCCGCTTGTCGATCAATCTGGTCACGCTGGACGGCCGCATCGTCATGAAGATGGACCAACTGCAGCCCACCGTGTCCGGACGGCCGGTCGGTGTGACGCTGGTGCAGGAGAACCAGCTACGGGTGGAGGCGCTGTTCACACCGATCTGGAGAACCGAAACCGAGCTGACGTTGCACGCGCAGGGCGAGATCTGGGTCGGCGACACGCAAGGCGGTTACGGGGACGCACCCGTCGCCAAGGCATATCGAGCCATGCCGGTGGCGCTCGGCGACAGCGTGTTGTTCTTCCCGCTCGGTGGAGAGCGCGAATTGCAGGGGAGCACCAGACGATTCCACTTCCGGAGCGAGCCGTTTCCGGTTGATCCGCCGCAGCAGAGTGAGTCGGAGGACGCAACGGTGGCGTTGGTGATCGTGATAGCGGTGCAGGTGAGCCTCCTCGAAAAGAACGGGGCGGCGGAACAACAGAACATCTCTTCCTAAATCCGCGCCATGATCCGCTGGCGATTGGGCACGGGCGCCGCCCGGGGCGGTGGCGACGCTGATCCTTGTGGTCACCGTGTTGCTCGCGATCTCCATGGTGCGGGCCCCGTCTCCGCGGCTGGATGCGATCGCACCGCAGGTGACGGCGCCCGGGCGGGTGATCAGCCTGCAGGGCCGCTTTTTCGGTGCCGACCGCGGCACCGGCGCGGTGACCTTCTCTGGCCGAGCGCCGCGCACGAGTGCCTACCGCTTCTGGTCGGACAAGCGCATCGAGGTGGTCGTGCCGGCGTCGTTCTCCAGCGGCTTGGTGCGTGTGGTTACCCGGGCAGGAGCCAGCGGTGGGCTCCTGCTGACTCACCGCGACGATGTGCCGATACCGGCTGACGGCGCTCGGCTGCCCGGAGCCCCGCCGATCGTCACGTCCGTGAGCCCGACGGCGGGCGCGGTCGGCGAGGAGATCACGCTCAGCGGCGCGGGCTTCGGCGCATCGCCCGCGGGCGGCGTGGTGCGGTTCACGGCGGCTGCCGGCGGCAATGCGTCCATCCCAGCGCTGCCGGGGGCGCACATCGATCCGCGCCTCGTGGTGGAGAGTTCCGCCGTCGATCTGGACTACGTCCGCTGGAGCGACCGGCGGATCGTGGTGCGGGTACCCGCGGGCTCGCGCTCGGGCGTGGTGTCCGTGCGGACGGCCACCGGCGTGAGCGCAGACCGCGACTTCCGGGGTCCGCAGCGAAGTGGGGAGCATTCGCTATCTCGATCCGCGCGGCTTTGCGGCTACCTACGCGGTCACCGTCGACGGGGTGAGCGCCGGCGGTGGCGTAGACCTCTACCTGTGGATTCCGGCGATCCCGGAGACGCCCGCGCAGCGGCACGAGGTTGAGCCCGCTGCCACCGCGCGGCCGGTCTATCGCGATCCGGCGGGCGTCGAGTTGTTCCAGCTCCACGATCTGGTCTCGGGCAGCAGTCACGAGGTGCGGCGCCGCTACCGCGTGCGGCGCTACGCGATTCAAGCCGATATCGAGCCCTCCAAGGTGCGCGACTACCTCACCGACAACGCGTTCTACGCCCGGTTCACCGGCGGCGACGCGGTGGTCCCGTCGGGCGGACGTCTGCCGGGGATCGCCGAGCGAGCCATGCGGGGCTACGTAAACCCGCTGTGGCGGGCCCGGCTGATATTCGAGTACGTGATCGCGCGCCTGCGGCCCGCTGCGGGAGGCGACGCACGCCTCGCGCCCGCCGGCGCGGAGCCGATGGACGTGGTGCTGCACGCGATCGACGACCGGAGCGCGGCGCCGTACGAATACGCGGTCTCGTTCAGCGCCATCGCCCGTGCCGCGGGCATCCCGGCGCGGCCGGTGGCGGGATATCTGATCGGCGACGGCCAACGGGCGGTGCCGCACTACTGGGCGGAGTTCTACCTGGAGGGGTTGGGCTGGGTGCCGGTGGATCCGCGCGCAAGACGACGGCGCCGCCCTTCGGCCGCCGGCAGCGGAGGGCGCGCTAGCCGACTCATCCTTCGGCAACCTGGACAGCCGCAGGATCGTCCTGGCCAAGGGGGTCTCGGACCCACAGCGCGTCGCGCGCGGCCGGCGCGTCCAGCACGCGGGGGTCACCGGCCTGCAGACCGCGCACGAGGATGTCGTGGGTGCGTTGAACGGCTACCGTACGCGCTGGCTGGAACTCACGGTCACGGAGCGCTTCTGAACGCCCCATCCCCAACCGCGCCATGATCGCCTCATAGGCGCCGACCGGAATCGAACCGGTGCATAAAGGTTTTGCAGACCTCTCCCTTACCTCTTGGGTACGGCGCCACGTCTGAGCGTTCCATAGTGCGTGTGCGACGGCGGCGTGTCGATGCCCCGGGGATGACATTTCAATGTTCGGCTGCGTATGCCGCGCGCAACTCGCGCCGCATCACCTTGTTGGACGCAGTGCGCGGCAGGGAGTCGATGAGGCGAACCTCGGAGATCTTGAACAGCGGATTGAGCCGTTTCGCGAGGGCGCGCTGCAGCGCCGGCAGCGGATCGGCGATCGGCCGTGTGGGAACCGCGAAGACCACCAGACGGTCCGGGCCGCCGTGCCGATCCGCAACCGCGACGGCTGCACACTCGCTGATATCGTGCACACCGGACAAGGCGCGCTCGATCTCCGCGGAGGACACCTTGATTCCGGACAGGGTTCATCGTATCGTCGACCCGTCCGAGCGCGCGGTAGTAGCCGCCTGGCAGGCGCTGCATGTGATCGCCATGGCGGCGCAGCGGCCCTTCGTCGGCGAGCGGCGTGCCGTCCAGGTACACGTCGTCGTGGTCCTGGTTGAGCAACTCCGTGGACAACCCCACCGACGGCGGCACCAGGAACAGCTCGCCGCTCGCCGCCGGCCGGCCCCGTTCATCGCGAATGGCCAGGTCCAGACCGAACGCAGGGGTCGTGAAGGTCGCCGGGGCCGACGGCTGATCCATCGTCGCCGAGATGTAGCCGCCGCCGATCTCCGTGCCGCCGCAATACTCGATGACCGGGCGGTAGCCGGCCAGCGCCATCAGGTACAGCTGGTCGTCGGGATCGGAGCACTCCCCGGTCGAACTGAGCGGCGTATGACGCTCCAGTCGATTCCTTCCATGCAGCGCGATCGGCGCCAGATCCGCACCAGCGTCGGTACCAGTCCCAGCATGGTGACGCCGGCGTCGCGCACGAACCTGCCGAAGTCGGCACCCTTCGGCCCCGGGTAATACAGGGCGATCGTGGCCCGGTTGAGCAGCGCAGCGTAGATCAGCCACGGACCCATCATCCACCCCAGACTCGTAGGCCACGCCAACACGTCGTCGGGTCGAACATCATGCAGCAGCAGGGCGTCCGTCGCGCACTTGATCGGCGTCAGATGCGTCCAGGGAATCGCCTTGGGTTCGCCGGTGGTGCCGGAGGAGAACAGGATATTGCTGTGGGCTGCGGCCGGACCGGTGACCGCGTCGGCGGGAGGGGCTGACGTGACGCGTTCCCAGGGCGTATCGGCGGCGCGCGGGCGGCGGCCGTTCGGAAGCTCGCCGATGACGATCGCCTCCAGGTCGGGAGCGGCAGCCAGCAGCCGTTCGTAGGTCGGCGTCGCAACGATCGCCAGCGACGCCCCGGTGATTCGCATGCGGATCGCCACCTGCGGAGCCGCGAAGCTGTCGGCGATCGACACCGCCGTGCAGCCGGCAAGGATGATGCCAAGATAAGCGGCGACGGCTTCCACCGTCATGGGGAGGTAGAGTGCCACCCGGGCGCCCGGTTGCAGCCCGCGTTCCCGGCAGTGCCCGGCCACGGCGTGCGCCATGCGCGCGAGGTCGGCACGGCTTACACCGTCGAGCGGTCCGTCCTCGCGGTCGCGATAGATGATCGCGAGCCGATCGTCGGCTTGGCCTGCCCGCAGGCAGTTCTCGGCGATGTTCAGACGCGCCTCCGGATACCAGTGTCCATCGCGCCAAACTGGCCCGGGACTGCCGCGGAAGCCGATTCGGAGCTGCTCGCACATCAGTTCCCAGAAGGCGGTGCGATGCTCGATCGACCAGCGGTGCAGGTCGGACACGTCGGCGGCGCCCACGAGCTGCGCCAACCTGCGGACGTTGCTGTCGCCCGGCGCCATTGCGGGCAGCCACGCCGGCGCCGGCGGCAGATCCGGGTCGCGGTCCTGATAGGCTGCCGCGAAGCACAGTCGATGCACCGCGAAGGGAATACGGGTGAACGGCAGAGGCTCGGACAGCACCTCACGGACCATCCGCTGCCAGCGCCGCTCGCCGGTCGGTTCGGCCGCGCAGCGCTCGATGCGCTGCGCCAGCGCGGCCGGTTCGCCTACTCCGAGCGAATGTGCCAGAGATCGCACGACCGAGGCTATCACAGGCATTTTCCTGTTGCTCCTCCCCAACCGTGCCGCCCCAAGGGATGCTGTCGGATCTGCCGCTCTGCGTGCAAGTCCGCGAGGAGTCCCGGCATGGCTGCGATCGCGCGACTACGGCTCGCGACGTGCAGCATCGTGGCCGCATAGCGCAACACGCGTCCAGGGATAGCCCAGGTCTGCGGGCGCCCGCGAGGAGCGTACCCTGCAAGATGCATGGCACGAGGGCGAGCCGTGGCGCCGGTCAGCCGGACCGTCCCTGTCCTTGACGCTACGCTGCCGGCATCGCGCGTAGGACCGATCCGTGCGAGGTGAAGGTTCGCATGGCACAGCGCAGGCAGGCAGCCGTTCGGACGCGCTCACAAGAGAGGCTGCCGCATTCCGCCGCAGCGCGTCGCTGCGTCTCCAGGAGAAGATCATGTGGAAGCGAGCAGGGCGCCTGAAACGGAGTCTTGGCTCCCGAGTGCCACGACGACCCCGGCATGACCGACCAGGAGCTTCTGGAGCGGTTTCGCCGTGATGATGACCAGTCGTGACATACATCGACGAGTGGGCGGTCAGCCTCACTCGGCAGGGCAGGCTGCGTGCCTATGGGGCGGGGCAGCCCACGCAGTCGGCCAGGAGGCCAACAGCGTCGGCGGCGCCATGGCCGTGCGCGACGACGACTGGATCGTCTACGCCTACCGCGAGCTGGGTGCGTTGCTGGTGCGTGGCCTGCCGATCACCGCTCACTTCCAGTACTGGTACGGCATCGAGGAGGGCAGCCGGCTCGACATCGACCGCTACCATCTGGCGCCCGTGTCCATCCCGATCGGCTCGCAACTCCCGCTCGCGGTGGGCCTGGCGTTCGCGCAAGAGCGAAGCGTCAAACCAGGGCGCGACCGACGGTGCTTAGTCTGCATCACTGAAGCGGCGACGAGCGACGACCAAAAAAGGGGCGTCGCAGAGGCGACTTCCACGAATCCCTCACCTTCGCCGGCGTCTGGAAGACCCCGACGGTGTTCTACGTGAGAGAAACGACACCAGTGTGCGCTGTCGACCCAGGGACGTGGACGCCCATTGCGCTCGCCGTTCATTTGCCGGCAGGACGCAAGCTAACGTCTTGCCGGCGTGCCGGTGGACGTCAACGAGGGGGGCATGGGGGGTGGGGGGAAATGCACCGAGGTGGGGGAGGGGAAGAAACAGGGCCGGGAAGGGAAAGGGGAGGGAGAGAGAAAAAAGAAAAGAGGAAGGGGACAAGAGGGGAAGGAAGAAGGAAGGACACAATTGTTGCGCGGTCCATCAGGTCGTCCGGGAGGCGGTGCGGCGCGCGCGGGCTGGCGAGGGGCCGACGCTGATCGAGGGCATCCCTACGCGGGGTGGGGGCCGCACACTACCACTGGAGCTACCTAAGAAAAACGCGAGCCGCTACTAACCGAGCACGGCCGCGAGAGGAAATAATCGCAACGCGGAGTGGGAGCCGGCGCGATCCCATCAGGATGCGCCTCCAGACAGCGACGCTCATGGTGATCAGGGACTGCTGACGGAATGCGGACACGTCTCGCTGGTGCCGAGCGAGCGTAGAGGACCATTGGCGCGGAGATAGCGTTCTCGAGAAGTGGAGTCGGCGCCCGACCCCGACCTGGAGGCCGGCTTTCGCCACACGTTCGCGGAGATTCCGCCGGTCCTGCAGGACCAGTTGGCGCGGCTGCGCGAGTTGCGCGGCGACCGATGAGAGGACGCTGGTGAGACTGGCCAACCTGGTCTCGTCCATCAACGACGGGTTGCGCACCGAGATGCGGCTCGACGAACGGTGATATCAACCTTCGTGAGACATCGGGGTCAACGGCGGCGTGTTTCGGTCCACCACGGGCTTGCAGGAGGAGTTCGGTGCTTCGCGGTGCTTCGACACTCCCCTGGCCGAGAGTGTCGCCGTGGGTAGCGCGCTGGGCATGGCGATCGCGGGACTGCGTCCGGTGGTGGAGATCCAGTCCATTTCAGCGCTTTCATCTGACGCGTTGCAAGCCAGAATCGTCACCACGTGTCACGAATACGACACGGACGCAAGGCGCCTTCACGGCGCCCCTGGTGATCCGCATGCCCTACGGTGGCGGCGTCCGCGCGCTGGAGCACCACAGCGAAAGCATGGAGGCGATCCTCGCGCACGTCCCGGGCATCAAGGTGGTGATCCCGTCCACGCCGCACGACGCCAAGGGGTTGCTGATCGCCGCGATCCGCGACCCCGATCCGGTGATCTTCATGGAGCCCAAGCGCGTCTATCAGGCGCCCCGACAGGAGATCCCGGAAGGTGACTTCGTCATCCCGCTGGGCACGGCCAAGTTGGTGCTTCCCGGCAGCGATCTGACCATCGTTTCCTACGGCGCACAGATGAAGGAGGCGATCGCCGCGGCGCGCCAGCTCCGGGACGAGGCGTCGGCGGAGGTGATCGATCTGCGCACGATTTACCCGCCCGATCTGGCGTCGGTGATCGAGTCGGTTCGCAAGACCGGGCGCCTGCTGGTGGTGCACGAGGGGCCGCGGTCGTTCGGGGTCGGAGCGGAGCTGACGGCCGCCGTCGCGGAGCAGGCGTTCCTGCACCTGGAGGCACCGCCCGCGCGCTTGACGGGCAGCGACATCGTCGTTCCGATGCCGCGGCATGAGCGTCACTATCTGATCAGCGTCGCCGACATCATGAGCGCGGCGCGGCGGCTGCTGAGCTATTGAGACGGTGGGCAAATGAGTTGCGGTGGGCAAATGAGTGCGGTGGGCAGATGAGGCGGTGCAACGATGTATGAGTTCAAGTTCCCGGACATCGGCGAAGGGCTGCACGAAGGCAAGATTCTGGAGTTGAAGCTGCAGCCGGGCGATGCGGTGGAGGAGGGCGATATCCTCGCCATCGTCGAGACCGACAAGGTGGTCGCGGAGATCCCGTCGCGGAAGACGGGGGTGCTGCGCCGCTTCGGGTCGGCGACCGGACAGAGGTCCTCAGAAGTACGACGCGACGCTCTCGCCTACATTCGAGTGGACGGCGAAGAGGACGGCGCCGAGCCCGGCTATGCCGCCTGGTCATCGGCCGCGGAGGAGACGGTCGCGTTGGCCGCCGAGTGCCACCTCAAGTCGAACTCGTCAACAAGTGAGGCCGTCGGCGACGAGTATCAGTGAACCTCCCCGCCGAGACGTGACGAGCCGGCGGTGCCGGGCGCGGGCGCCGGGTAGCTGGTGCGGGCTGTCCGCCGAGCCGCACAGCAGAGCGTCCGAACCCGAGGAACTTCGAGCGTAGAGCCAGTCACTTCCGGGCCGGCTCATGCCGGCGACGCGGAGCAAACGGCAGTCGTCAAAACGTGGGCGAAGAACAAAGGGGAAAGAGTCGGAGCCTGCTGTCACGCTAGTCCTCAGGGGAGCGAGCCGATCCGAAAAGAGAAAGAGTGTGGTGGTTTGACGAGGAGGGTCGGTGCCGGGGTGAGTCCGCTTTACCGGGAACACGAGCGACGGCGGGCCCGTGAAATCCAGAAGTCGTGATATACGGCAACAGGCACGCCAGAGCTCAGGCCGCCGATCTCTGCGCATGCCCGTGTGCCGTGCACAACCCGTCGCTCGGAAAGGATGCGTTCGGCTTCCTCGGCCGCGACTCGAACGCCCCGCTCACCAGTCGGTCGACCTGCGGCCGGCAGAACGGTGAACTGACCATCCTGCCTGCTCAAGAACACACAATCGCGCGCCAAACATGAGATCAGCCGCAGGATTCCGACGGCTATCGTCCACGACCTGGGCGAGGTCGACGAACTGGTGGAGTTGCGCGCGAAGGCCAACCGCAACCGCTCCGCGCACATCAGCTACCAGCCGTTTTTCATGAAGGCGCTGGCGACCGCACTGCGTGACGTCCCGATCCTGAACGCCACCTACGACGCGGTCTCCCAGAAGATCTGC